GTTTCAAGCCATTTTAAGTGTAACTAAACAAAGAAAATTTTTTGAAATTTTTGCGTAAATCCAATACGGTTACCCGTCACCCTAGGGTGGGGCCTCCGTAAAAATTTATTAATAGAATTTTTCGTCTCAGTCTCGTTCATACCTCTGCCTTCTTCAGTTTAAAGCAAATGTAATCGAAATCAAGATGACAGCAAGACAATTTCAAAACCTTTTGATTTTTACCAACATAACTTCTAAACTTTCTGGCTTTATGTTCATTTCATTTCATTTCAAATCTAAAAAACTTAATTGTGAGAGAAACTTTCATGACAAAATACTTTTTGCTTTAAGTTTATTTTGGAGTTTTCTGGCTTTTCTGCTTTACGATGGAAATTTCGATCTTTACGGCATCGTTCAATCCCAAATTGCTGATAATCTCGTCAATATCTTTGTGAAGAGCTTCAATATCATCATTTGCATATTAAAAATTGTAAATTTTGTATGTAGCAGAAGTTATTCCAGAATATTTCTAAAATTATATGATTGTCAGCTGGAAGTGAGTATTGAAATTCGAAAATGGTATTTAATAACTAATTAATATTTGCAGTTTGAAAGGAATAAAATATCAACAGTCACAAAATTACAATACATAGCAACATCATTGTGTGCGATTTTTCATATCATATTTATGGTAATTCTCACTATCGCTTCATATTTCTGCTATAAAGAAAATGGCCTTTACGATGGATTAAAATTGAAAAACTTTTTGTTGGCATTTTCAGCACTTTCCTTTTACATGATGTATTATACTTCCCTTTTGAAATTATTATCATGCATATATTGTTTAATTAATGCTTTGAATGAATATTTAGAAGATAATTTGAAATCTCCAACTGTACAATCATTCTCAAAGATAACAAGGAAAGTTTCAATATTGAATGATAAAATTTGTGATACCCTCGAAGTAATTTCAAGAAATTATTTGATATATATTTTGAACTTAGTTGGATGCAATTTAATTATCTCTATAGTAAACTTTTATAATTCTTACATTTTATTAATGAGCAACGGCAATATAATATTTCACATATATTTTATTGAAGGCATTTGCTATCTGTTATTCTTTACACCTTTCATCATATCGACTACAATTCTATCAAGCTGGATTGAAAGTGAAAACATGAGAACTGCTGAACTTTTAAATCAACCCCTTATGATAAAAAATGATAGAAATGCTCTGATAAGATTGAAAAATATGTCACAGCAAATTGAACATAGAAAGCCAACACTCTCATGTGGAATTTTTATTGTGAATTGGAAATTTATGTTTTCAATGATTTGTGGAATTTTCAACTTAGCAATAGTTCTGATCCAGTTTTATGATGTTAAAACTTAATGAAGCTATAAATAATTAAATAAAATTGCTCAATTCTGTTTCTGACCTTCTTCTTCTTTTGTTACTTATTTAGATAGTTCACATTTACACTTTTAAAACAATGCAATAAAATTTAAAATGATGATTAGGTATCTCGAATACAATTTTTATACACAGAACATCAAATACAATTAGATACTAAATCATGATCGTGAGTTAAGAAGACTATTTTTCTATTTCAAGAAATTACTATTGCCTTTCTATCTAATAATGAATTAACAACTTAAAATTGAAAATTCAGTGATTTAATGTTTTGGACGAGAACCGTAAAAAGTTGAACACTAACTACATACCTATATGAATATAAACACGAAAACACTCTTATACTTTTTACTAACAATTAAAATACCTTAATTCGCGAATTTCGACAGCAAAACTGTCATCTTCAGAAGATTTCGATTCATACTCTTGAAAATTAATTAATTAATTCTGAATAATACCTACTTGAAAATTCAGAATGGTTTTTAGATAAATTATCCTTTCATGTTTATTGTTATTGAATTAATTTATTAATTTTTAATATGAAACAGAAATTTAATTACCTAAATATAAAAAAAAATTCTGTATGATATTCCTGAATGAAAGCAAATTTAATTTTAATTTGATTTAAAAAATATCATTTGAGTAGTCTTCAATATGTTTGATAAGGAAATTTCGAAATGCATCGTAATTCATTAAACAGCCATTAAAACAGACGTTTGAGTTGGTTCCACATATGTTGATGATGGATTACAAGCTTGTCTGATGGCCAATGTCCAAGTTTCAAGGACATGAGTTAAAGAGAATCGTTCCGGTAGCTTAGAAATGCGAGCTCTCAAAGCTTTCTCAACAGCAATCAAGAACTGTGTGTTATGTTCTGTAATTCGAGTTATCGGGGATGTTATTGGGTAATCTTCTGGAATGGTGATGTGAATTGGTGGAACACATGGAAGTAACTTATCATCCAAACAACAAACCAACTTAATTGATTTCGCACCGGTTGTATGAGCAGTTTGATCGAGTGATATTTTGAATTTCGAATCTAAACGAGCAATTTCACCTTGTAATAAATGAGGAATTTCATTAGAATTCGGGACTACTTGATCATCAGATGATAGTCGACGTTTCTTTGCCGGTGGAAGATTCTTAATGTCGGGGCCGAACCAAGCTTCCAAACTCGGTTTAAATATTCGTTGAATTGTATGAGTCGCGAGAGGATTCTGAAGATTGTTGGAAATCGCATCATATAGTGGATTATTGATGCTTGTCGGTCCTGGATCTTTCAAAGTCCCAAACTGATTAACTAACACAATCTCGCATTTTACAAGTGTTTCAAGTGGAATCCGAGCTTCAGGATTCGACAAAATTTCCAATAATTTTTTCAACTTTGTTAACTTTTCTGAATTGTTTTCTGGACCAACTCTCGAAATAACTTTCTTCAACGGTTCTTTATATTTTGTCAATTGGTTGTATTTCTCACGGTATATCTGATCATCATGTGGATTCATTGGACTTTGTGCATAGTCGCTTCCTTGTGGTTGTCCTGGTGTATTCATGTTGCCACTCGGTGATGGCGCCATAATATTTTGCATACCAACACGTGGCTGATTTGACATGGGCGCTTGTGGTGATGGAACCATTGCTGGACTAGCAACCATAGAATTATGTTGCGATTGAGACAATCCAATTGGTGATGGAACTGACATTGGAGAAGGTGATTGACGTAAGAAATTCGGAGGATTTTGAGGTCGAACTTGCGGAAATGGACCGGGTCCTTGATTGCCAGGTCTCAGCATTGCCTGTTGTTGCATGTTGATCATTTGTTGTTGCTGTTGTTGTTGTCCACTATTCATGACAGCCATCATAGGATTTGGAGCCATTCCTCTTACACCCATCATTCCAGAGTTATTCATTTGATTTGCACCAACCATTAACCCACCAGAATTATTCATCTGAGCTTGATTCATCATTTGATTTATTTGTGATTGATTTCCGGGTTGCATTGGAACACCTTGATTCATAATGTTGCCTGTTTGAGCACCCATAACTTGATTCGGAACCATTTGATTCATAGGATTTATTCCACTAACATTTCCTTTTATTTGACCACCACCAGGTCCAATTTGATTCATTTGCATTTGATTCATTGTGTTCATCTGAGGTTGCATAATATTTCCTTGGCTTTGGTTCATTTGAGGTCGAATCATTGATGGACCTTGGTTTGGCATATTGACCTGTTGTTGTCCCATAACTCCTTGATTTTGTCCACCCATCATCATTCCTGGTCCTTGTTGCTGTTGTCCCATCATTTGAGGTTGAACATTTCGAGTTCCTTGGCTTGCTAAATTCTGCAAAGCATTAATGGGATCTTGAATGCCGGTATTTCCTTGAGCTTGACCTCCTTGTCCCTGTTGAATACCCGATTGTGAGTTACTACCACCATCAGTATTCTTATTTTTGTTATCTATGTAATAATTTTAAAACGATAAATGATAGAGTACTATCATAAATAAAAATAATTAAAAAGAAAATTGAAACTTACTCATCTCTCGTACGTGAATTATAAGACGAGCAACAAAACTTAAATATTCATCTTTATTTCTAGCTTTCGAGAAAACATGATTCTCCATATCAACCGTGTTCTTTTTCGGTGTTAAATCTGATGAGCTAATGGCCTCATTGCTAAAAAGAAGAAAAAATATTTTGTTTTTGAGTAATTTTATGATTTTTTTTTTCAATGAAAATATTACATTTTATTAACAACCGATTGACGAAATGATTGACTACGCCAACTGTTATCTTCCTCCATCTTTCAAAATCGGTAGAATATAATCTATTTTTTGAAGTTGTTAATCAAATTTTCGTTGTTATAATATTGATATAAAGTTATAACAGTTAGTCATCCAGGACGCAAAAAATATTTGGTGAAAAAACAATTCACCACTTGTGGCATGACTTCTGAATCTAACATCAGATTTCAATGGATTTCTTAGGATTTGATAACATTGAAATGAAAAATTATTAGGTAATAGCTTTCTATAACGGTCGCTAGAGGTACCATATAAGTTATCAATTGAGTTTATTATTTATTACTTATTCTGAAAATATTTTAGAATCCTACGTACAGTTATTTAATTTTCAATTTAACTGTCGGAAATAAATTTACTTTATCTTGAAATATATTTAATGCTTTATTTTTAGACTAGTGATATAAATAACTATCAAAATTATATCTTTCTTTGTGTCATCAATTTAATGTTCGACCATAACAGTGAGTGCTCCCATTACACTAATACCGAGAATAAGAGCGCTAAACTGTTTTAACGATTCAATTCGATCTTCTTCTTCGAGCAGATCTGGCAAAACTGTAACAAGGGCAATATGAAGGAAACCACCAGCAGTGAATGGCATTATCCACGATGTTCTTGCCTCCATGGCTGAAGTAACTCCAGATCCACCAATGGCAACTAATGCTCCAAGAATTCCTGCCGTTGCTGTTAAAAGTTGTGCCTTTGCAGCATCCCATCTTGAGAAACCTGCACGGAGTAAAATCGCAAAGTCACCAATTTCATGAGGAATTTCATGAAGCAAAATTGCAAATGTAGCCAAAACTCCATGTCGGAATGATACCAAAAATGATCCAGCGACAGCAAGTCCATGTGTAAAGTTATCTATTGAATTTGCCAGAAGATTTAAATATCCAGCCACTTTCTTCGGTTGTTCGCGTGTTTTTTTATCTTTTTCAGCAAGGAAACATCCGTTAGGGACGTCTTCAATATCACATGATCCGTTTGGAGCACAACTTTCTCCAATTTTTCCATCGGGCATTTTTCCACCACTTTTTCGTAATAAACAATTTGCAATCTCAACACATTTTGGTTGTGGATTGTTTTCATCTGCATTTGTATAACCACTGAAAATCTTTTCAACAATTGTGAAGATCAGGACGCCACTTAGAACCCACAATCCACTTTTTATTGATGGGTGATCATTTGCTAAAATAAAAAAATAAAATTAAAGAGAATAAAAAATTATTAAATATTTACATTACAATTTCGATCTTTCATGTCATATTCCCACGTTTCAGGAAGTAAGTGAAGAAAAACATCACCCAAAAGTCCACCAACAGCAAAACTGAGTAAGGTTTTGAGTGATTTTGATTCAGCAGCTGAAATAACAAAACAAAAATAAGAGGTGCATTGAACAAGTTCATGGTCAACATTTTGTAAAAAAATCATCGTCATAATTGCGAAGCTCTTCAACAAAAATCTAATCCATTTAAGCAATTAAACAGAGATTCAAGTCGCACGTAAAGTTGATAAAAGTAATTGATTGGTTTTTTTTCATCTTGATTAATTTAGGCAATAAGAATGAGGTAGAAACATGAATTAAGTTAGATTGATTTATAACCATCATTCAAAATATGTGTTTTCTTATTTTTGTTTGTCTTTGAAAAACAAAGAATTTCTCTTCTTCTTTTTTGAAGTCAATAAACTTTTCACTTGTCGAAAATTATGATCAGATAGATTTACTTACGATTTATTATCTCTTTGTTCTTCCCAATTGCATCTGAGGGAATAATAATTAATGGCAAAATTCCACTAAGTCCAATTAGTGCTGATCCAATAAGAGAAAATACCCATGGAACATATTTAATTGTTTTAACGTATTCGGGTATGTAGAGTTCCAACAATGCTAAGGTCTCCATTGATGTGATATTCATGATTACAAACAACAACAATAAATTCTCCTCTTTTCGATGTCGTCTGTTGTGTAACTCAATCAAAATTTTGTAAAGATTTTCCCAAAAGGAAAATGCGTAACCAAAAAAAGCAATCGATTATATTTTTTATCAAACGATCATCTCCAATCACTACGACCATGTAACTTCAAAAATTTTGCAAGCAGGAAATTTGATTACACTACAATGAAAATGAGAGAAAAGGAAATCTCGTGATAATCAAAATAATAATTACTAATTGAATTACAAAGGAAAAGAACGTACAAATTGACCGGACAGTTCAATTGTTGAATTAAAAATGAGAAAAAGATTTCGATTGAAAAAATGAGCCTTAAATTTTTATCTTTAAAATATTTTTTCTGTGTCTGCAAGACTTGTTTGTTTATTGACTGGGTTTGCAAGTCTTATTTTACCAATATTCACTCAAAATTTATAATAAAAAAATGAAATTTCTGATAACAGCTGTTAAAGATTGTCGATAAGTTTATCAATGTTTTTGATTTCTTTTATTGCCATCAGGAATTCGGTCATAAATTGGGAAAGAATTTCTTTTGTTGCTGTGTGTTATCAGTTTTCAAAACCAGTAAATTATGTTTACATGTTTAAAATTACAAAAACAGATAAACATACCTAATTATCAACGAGAATAGAGAAGAAAAATTTCATTTGAATCATGAAACCGTTCTCATTTCTAATTCAACCGGCTTTTTTCCCCTCTTAAAAATTCACATTTGATCATGACCTACCACAAATCTCCAAATTTTATTTTTTTAACCAGTTTTATGCAGTCGGAAAGACACAAAGCAAAACCAGAAAAATAAACAAACAAAGAACTTTTAGCAAAATCAGTGCTTTATGTGTATTTGAAAAGAAGTTTGATTTCCAATAAACTAAAGCAAAAAGTTATCTTGAAAGACTCATTCACAGATACTGATGTTAGTAAAACATGATAGATAATTGTGATTTTTAGTCAGTAAGATATTAGTCAGTAACTGGTCATGAGCCAACACCAATGCACTTTAGAAGTTTAACATCGCAAATAAAAAATTAAGTAGTATTTAAAAGAGAATATTACACAGTCACATTGTGTGTTCATTTTTATCTTCAATGTATGCTTAGCGAATAATTAATATTTTAAAATAATTTGAATTTTGAGTGTTTTCAATGGCATGAAGCCCAAAGAAGCATAAAATGTTACTTTTGGTAATAACAGATAATGATTCTAGTTAGGTTCAAGTTATATAATCGACAAATGTTTTGTTCTTTCGAGTTAGATCTATAGAATAAATACTTACAATCATGAAAACCGTTTTTATGATTCTCAAGAAATTTTTTAAGCAAAACTTGCTTTGTTTACTTCAAATATAAACTTCCCTATAAGTTGCGAGAGAATTAAAAAACAGGTTTTTGTTGTCTTTGGATTTTCGTATGGTGAAATTTTTAAATTTAAATCGAGCGTTAAAATATTTAAATTTAAAAGGGTGTCGAGTACTGCAACTTCACGCAGCTCAAATGTCAGACTGTCACAGTTGACCCGGGTCAAAAATTCGTACGAATTCAATATATATTTTTTATTTAAAATTAAAGTATTTGTCGTGAATCTTGAAGGCAGGTCTCCTTGTAAGAAAAAGTAATGTGATTTGACGTAATAAATATTAATAATACAATCCAGCTGACTGTTGAAAAGAACCGGAAACAGTGATAATAAAAGAGAAAAAAATGTCACAGAATAGAAATTCAATTAGAAATTCATACTGTTGTTCAGATATGTTGAGACATTTTCTAAGACTTCGTTTTACGCCTGAAGAGCTCGAGCAACGCGATAAATCACGCAAGATTGACAAATTCCTTGAGAAGGACAAGAACTCATTTCGACGACAGGTACTTTCTCAAAAATTTTCCCCAATAATTTTCCGTTCCCCCATTCGATGAATCATTATTTTTGTTTCACATATTTTTATTATCGTCGCTCCAAAACTCGCGAGCTTTGAATGCTTATTGTTTACACATTTTTTTACAGTCAGCACTATATATGCCATGTTTTCCATTTTACTTTTCTAGGTGAAATTACTTTTACTGGGCGCTGGCGAATCGGGAAAGTCAACATTTCTTAAACAAATGCGAATCATCCATGGAATAAAATTTGAGCCGGAATTGATGCGCGAATATCTTCATGTTATATATCAAAATATTGTTAAGGGTAAGTATTCAAATGAGTTAATCTCTGTTAGAAGGTGTAAAAGATTGTAAATGTTGAGTACACGTGATAATGAAGTCACAATCATTCCATTGTTAGCTACTTTTTGTGTGTCACTTAACACTATTAAAGTGATTGTTCCAAAATAATAAAAAAAAGCATTCCTCAAATCATAGGTATGCAAGTGCTGGTTGACGCTAGAGAGAAGTTAAAAATACCTTGGGAGCATCCAAGCAATCAATTAGACGCAAATCAAGCCATATTATTCCACAGTAATAATGAGTTAAATGTAGACACATTTCGACAATATGCACCCGTCATTTATCGTCTGTGGCAGGATCGATCGATAAAAGAGGCTTTTGATCGTCGGAGAGAGTTTCAATTGGTGAATTTTCTTTTTCTTTTTGAAAATATTTCCTCTTCAATAATTTTATATTTTTCTTTTCAGAGCGACTCCGTCAGTTATTTCTTTGATGAACTTGATCGAATATCACGCAGTGATTATATTCCTTCACAAAAAGATATTCTACACTGCCGTAAAGCCACGAAAGGAGTCTACGAATTTACAATTAGGATACAAAACATTCCATTTGTGTTCGTTGACGTTGGTGGTCAACGAACGCAACGTCAAAAGTGGACAAAGTGCTTTGATGGCTCAGTAACATCAATTTTGTTTCTCGTATCAACATCAGAATTTGATCAGGTGCTTGCTGAGGACAGGTGAGTTCCTTTTAATGTTCTTCAGCATATTCTTAATGAGTGAAAATATTTTAGAAAAACAAATCGCCTTGAAGAATCGAAAAATATTTTTGATACGATAGTTAACAATACCGCCTTCCAAAATATCTCCATTATTCTCTTCCTCAACAAATCGGATTTGTTGGCAATAAAAGTGAAGAATCCTGAGACTGACATTCGTCGATATTATCCACAATTCACCGGCAATCCTCACTCAATTATTGATGTTCAAACTTTCATTCTTCAAATGTTTCTTCGTGTTCGTCGCAACAATAATCATCATCACAGTTTGAAGCCACCACAGCCAATTTATCATCATTTTACGACAGCTGTCGACACACAAAATATTCAGGTTGTGTTCAATTCAGTGAAAGATACAATATTGCAAAGAAATCTCGCTTCGATTATGATGCAATGACAAGTTTCATCCTCAGATATTGAAACAGTATTGAATTCTGATATCCCAAAAAAAGAATGAAAATAATCGTCCATTTCACTCGTCAAACAATGGCTAATATTTATTTAATTCTTTTAACTCATTGTTCTTGTTTCTGTTACATTTTTTTCACCTATCATGCGTTTAAATGAAGCAGTAAAATAATATGTGCAAAAAAGTTTTTAAAGTTAGATATAGGTATGTTGAATGAAAATGACAAGAAAAGTTCAAAATACCAAGAATTAAAACTTTTGAAATGTTTGAGAATTGTTAGAAGCTTGAATAATTCTACTCGACCTTATTCCTAATTTCTAATAATTCTTATTACATTTAAAAAAATGTTGAATATTATGAATTGTCCTTGTAATCTTTCATATCGCTTTAAAATAAGCGGAATTTATTAGTTTCTCGTTTAAAAATAAAAATAATGAGGTACCTAATATGAATATTACGCATTCAGGATAAATTGTCAATTTTCTTTTGCTTTCTCACTCATTGGCATATTAATGATTTCAAATCGGGTTTATTTAATATTCATAACGTCTTGTTAAATGATAAAACAGAAACAATGAGAGGAAATAAAGATGCCGTGAAACGACTGTGTCTAATTCATCTAGATGTTCTTCATAAGTATCAAATTGATCGAGATAGAAAGCAAATATTTTCTTCTTCATTTTGTAATATATAAAAAATGCAATTATTCTAGTATTTTGTGTAAAAAGAAAATGATTTTCTAGTTAAATGTTAAGTTCTAAAGAAGACAATATTAATTCGATTAATTTGTAATTGATGAAGCTAAAAAATTATGATAACATGAGAAAAATCATAAATTTTAAAGATTATAAAGAATCGATTGAATCTTGAAAAAAAAAATCATTTTAACTCATCTCTTAAGATCTAAAAATAATCTCTAATAAATATACATCTTTTAAAATGTCATATCGAACATTAAAAACATTCATCTTGATCTTCAAAGACTTTTTAAGGAAATTACTGTATACGCATTCAATCTTTATACTCATGCCAAACTCATACTTACACTGGATATTCAATTATCTAACAAACAATTTTTAAAGCTTTTTTTTTTGATAATCGAATGTATGTATAGATTTGATAACATTTTACGACTTCTTGTAATTTATTTATTTAAGAAGTAAAATAAATAATTAACAAAACCGAAATTTTATACTTGCGGCCTTTTATTTGGGAAAGAATTTGAATAAAATTTTAACTCGTGTGGTTCTAATTCAAAATGCAATTTGAACTTTGTTGATTATTCTCTGGTATAACACAAGAATTGATAAAATTATCTTTATTATCATCAATAGAGTTATGTAAAAGTTAGTTCACGCCAATCTTTTGCAACAACAAGAGCAAATAAAAAAATCATAATTTTAGAAGTGCAAACGTGTTTAAAGTGCAGAAATTTGAAAAATGAACTTTCAAAAGTTAATTAAAGTAAGTAAAACTGTATGATTTGTTAATTAATCATTTAAATCTTTGTACAATTCAACTTCACTTCACTTTCCTTTCATAACTTTATAGCTAGTTATAAATAATAATAGTTTTCTAATTTGTCTTTAGAAAGTTTTTTGATTTGTTCGAATTGGGACATGTGCATTAATGATTTAATTTAAAAGTTATTAGGTACCTAATTTTTAAAATGAATTGCACAAATGATTGTAGGTACTCTAAGAATTTTCCGAATTTTCACATTTAAAGCTTTATCTCTTCATTTTATTACATATTTAGTAAAAATATTACAGAATTTCTTATTTTTCGAGTTTTTTACATTTGTAGCTTTATTTCTTCATATTATCACATATTTAGTAAAAATATTACAGAATTTCTTATTTTTCGAGTTTTTTACTTTTGTAGCTATATTTCTTTATATTATCCACATAT